CTCCTGACCAGAGCCATTATGCCACTTCCTTCGTCCGCAAAAACAGGAGGACACGTACATGGGAGGGCTTTGCCAATGTTCAGAATTTCTTCTTTGGTAAATGTAATCTGGGAGGGGTCACAGGATGCCATAAAGCATTGAGTAGTTTTCCGTAATTACTCCAAGGCGTAGACGCAGTAATTACTCCAAACATAAGCACAATAAAGCTAAGTAGTAAATCTTTACCAGCGACGCCGTCCGCCGTCCTGGTGTCTTGATATATTGAGGAGGCAGGAGACAGAAGGCAGGAGTTAACAAAAATTAGCCATAAAACCATAAATCCATCGAAGGAGTAGCAGTTAAAAATAGTAAATAGCCATTTATGGCCACAGGAACGACCCTAATCACGGCTGTAAAGGTCTAAAAAGACTGTAAGACCATAAAACACACCACAAAACACAAGCTGAGCACAGCCGCGGCTGCTGTTCATGGCGCCATCTTGGTAAGCGCTCCTGTAAGCTTTATATTACTTTGCCATATTTTCAACCATTGATCAATATCAATATTATGCCCTTATGACTTTTTTTATTTCTCCCATTTTGCTTGTGCTGTTGTGGTTTGTGAATGCCATTAAAGGTTTCACAATCTGAATCAGAATCAGATTCCTTCCATGTCGTCAGGACACCAATCGTACATCTTTTTAGCGGCAAGTTCATAGCTTACTTTTATTTCCCAGAATTCTTTTTATCTGGTTAATTACATGAAGCAGACCTTCTCCTTTTTAATGTGTACATTTTTTCCTCCTTTCCGTGGGAGTTAACACATGGAAGGTGAGGTTTATCTTATTTCTGAGTTGATCAGACTCAGAAAAAAATAATTTAAGTCCAGAAAACTGGCATATCAGTTTTCTGGAGCTCTTACATTTTATCTTAACTTATCTGATTTCTGGTCCTCCTGGCTGGCTCGTCATAGTGTCAGAAACTGATGAAGATACCTCATCCCCCCAGGAGTCCCTACAGATATTTATAGACATCCCAGGAAAAGAAGAGAAGTCTTATAATTTGTCATAGCTGACTTTATTCCAGTAAAGTGTTTATTTGAGAATGAATCCACACAATCAGTGACAAGCATTTCCAGTATCATCTGGGTGTCTCACTATAAGTGTCTTCATTGTTGCAATAATTCCAGGCAATTCTAAAACATGTCTATTACTACAAGTTTAATTTATTTACATAGTTTCTGACTCCCATATTTAAAAATCGCATATCCCAAAAAAAAAAAAAAATCAAAACAGGTTTTCCTCACAACAGTAAAACTGTTTTTGATATTTTAACATACTCATATTGGTTTGGAAAGGCTTGTCACTGATTGTCTGGTTTCATTCTGGGATTAACCCTTTACTAGGATGTCAGCTATGATCAATCATAGACTTCTGTTCCTTGCCTGGAAGAACTATAAATCTGTGCCAGACTCCTGGGGAAATCAGGAATACTTATTGGGTACCTCTATTCGATTTCAGCGCCCTGGTCATGTTCTCGCATGATGTGCAATCAATACAGGGGTTCTGTTTCTAATTGCAGAAGAGAAGAATATATTTTCAATGCTACCTTTGACTTGATCCCCAGTGAGATTTCTTTCTGTGCTGCACTTCTTCTCTTTTTTTTCTCTCCATCAGGTGACAAACTGCATGGTCTGAATTATATAGACCCACTTGTTAGGCCAATGAAAAGAGCCAAGTGTAAAGCAGGAAAAGAAGAAAAGAGACATCCAAAAGGAGGAAAAGGCAGAAGAAGGGGCAGACAACAACAAAGGAAATCACACCACCATCAAGACACATCAGGGTCTTGTTAGTTGTGAACTCTTGATAGTCCAAAAGAGGGAAAAACAACATGAAAAAGGAAGTAGAATGTGTCCCATCAGATTTGAATAAACATGGTGGAGTCCAGCTACAGGAGAAACCAAATCAGTGCATGAAGCATGGAACGAATGGGACTATGAATAGTAATAATATTTCATATGAAAAACATGTTAGTGGGGAGAAGCAGTATAAATACCTGCAGTGTGGAGAGAGCTTCAGCCAGGACAGTCACTTTAGTTCACATCAAGGAACTCACACAGGAGAAAAACCATTTGAATGCACTGAATGTGGAAAGAGCTTCAGTGTGGCAGTAACCTTAGTTCACATCAAAAAACTCACAATGGGGAGAAACCATATAAATGCGTGGAGTGTGGAAAGAGCTTCAGTCGCAGCAGTAACCTGAGTTCACATCAAAGAACTCATACAGGAGAGAAACCATATGACTGCATGGATTGTGGAAAGAGTTTCAGTCACAGCAGTCACCTTAGTTCACATCAAAGAATTCACACAGGAGAAAAACCATATAAATGCCTGGAATGCGGAAAAAGCTTCAGTCGCAGCAGTCATCTTAATTTACATCAAAGAACTCACAATGGGGAGAAACCATTTGAATGCATGGAATGTGGAAAGAGTTTCAGTGAGAGCAGTGGCCTTAGTTCACATCAAAGAACTCACACAGGGGAGAAACCGTATAAATGTGTAGAATGTGGAAAGAGCTTCAGTCAGAGCAGTAGCCTCAGCTCACATCAGAGAATTCACACAGGGGAGAAGCCATATGAATGCATGGAGTGTGGAAAAAGCTTTACTTGCAGCAGTCACCTTAGTTCACATCAAAGAACGCACACAGGTGAGAAACCGTATAAATGCACAGAATGTGGAAAGAGCTTCAGTTGGAATAGCGCCCTTAGTTCACATCAAAAAACTCACAATGAGGAGAAACCATTTAAATGCCTGGAATGTGGAAAGATCTTCAGTCGCAGCAGTAGCCTCAGTTCACATCAGAGAATTCACACAGGGGAGAAGCCATACAAATGCACGAAATGTGGAAAGAGCTTCAGTCGCAGCAGTGCACTCAGTAGACATCAACGAATGCACACAGGGGAGAAAACATATAAATGCATGGAATGTGGGAAGACCTTCAGTGACAGCAGTAGCCTTAGTTCACATCAAAGAACTCACACGGGGGAGAAACCATATAAATGCATAGAATGTGGGAAGAGGTTTAGTCGTAATAGTCACCTTACTTTACATCAAAGAACTCACACAAAGGAGAAACCATTTGAATGCATTGAATGCGGAAGGAGCTTCGGTCACAGCAATACCCTTCGTTTACATCAAAGGACTCATGCAGGGGAGAAACCATAAATGCATGGGACATGGAGAGAGCTTCATGAACAGCTACGTATGTTCTTCTCCTCATCAAACATCTTGATTGTATACCTGCATTGAGCAGGGGGGTTGGACTTGATGGCCTTGTAGGCCCCTTCAAACGTCACTTTTCTGTGATAGTGGGGACACCATACAAATGCACAGAATGTGGAGAGAGGTTCCATTTGAGTCATAGCCTTACTTTTCTGAAATGTGAAAAGAAGTGTCTTGAGCACAGTGGCCTTACTCTCAGCATGAAAGAGCACACCCAAGGATGAAACCAGAAAAGCTAAACAAAATGTGGAAAGAGCTACAATACTAATGGAAACCTTATTAATAGTCAAAGGAATAATCGCTGAATTCTAATATGTGAAACATGTTTCTGTTTAAGTATGTGGAATGTGGGAAGGTATTCCGTTAAAGGAAAGATGTATTTGACCCGGTCGGTTCACAGGGTCACTACCAAATGCCTTCTCCAATTTAGAGCTCATTCTGTCCCTAGGTTTACTGAGGGGCTCTGAGCTATGAAGTTAGCCAGGAGATAACTAAAAAGAAGCTGAAGGACGGACCAGTCAGGTCAAAACTTGGCTGTTGTCAAGAACTTGACCAGCAAGCATGCCAATGCCTTAAAAGTGGTGAAAAAGACTTTTAATATTAGGATCATTGGTGAGGCCATGAGTTGAGAAGTGGAGCTTTTCCAGGTGGTTCACAGCCTCACCAATTCTGGTCAACACTGGCCTCATCTTCACCAGTGATCAATTTGCAGCTTTTTTAGATCTAAAATTGAGGCCCTCCATTTGAATCTCGACTCCACCATCAGTTTAGTTGACCGGGTGGGGACAATCTCCCTCTTGGTTCAGTTTGGCCCTGTAACTGTGGAGTTACAGGGTTTCAAGTTTCTAATGTGCTGGTAAGCGCTAGGCCTATGGCCTCCTGGCTCGACCCTTGCTCAGGCTTGGCTTAGAAAAGCGTCCAACCGGGCTATGGCTGATTGGGTCGTCAATATTGTGAACTCCTCTCTAAGGGAGGAAATTGTCTCATATGTACTGTAAAAGGAAATGTTCAGGCCCGTTACTAAACATCCCTAGCTTGCAACAAAGAATCTCAACATCTTTTGTCCGATTGCCAAAATATCTTTTATGGGAAAGGAGATGGAGCAGATGGTGGCTAATCATCTCCAGACATACCTGGAGGAGCAGGATTGCCTTGACCCATTCCAGTCTGGATTCCGGCCATGACACTGATCACACTGCACAATGACCTTTCAAGGGAGGTTGACGGGAAGATGTACGCCGTTGGTACTTGATCTCTCAGTAGCTTTTGATACCATTGAGCTTGGTATCCTCCTGGACAGTCTCTTGGAGATTGCAATCGGGGCCTATCATTGAGTTGGCTCCAGTCTTTCCTCGAGGACAGTGTCTAGAGAATTAGGTTTGGGGATGATTTGTTGCCCCCCCCGGACTCTTTATTGTGGAGTGCCTCAGAGTGGAGTGTCAAAAAGCAAAGCAAAGTAAAGTGTGCTGCTTATATACCACCCCATAGTGCTTCAAGCACTCTCTGGGTGGTTTACAAGTTAATTATGCAGGCTACACATTGCCCCCCTCCCGGGCGAGCTGGGTACTCATTTTACCGACCTCGGAAGGATAGAAGGCTGAGTCAACCTTGAGCCGGCTACCTGGGATTGACCCCAGGTCGTAAGCACAGTTTTGGCTGCGGTATAGCGGTTTAACCACTGCACCACAAGGCTTTTATCCTTATCCTTTATTGTCAATATCCTTAATGCTGTTTAACACCTATGTGAAGCCTCTGGGGGAGGTCATCAGGAGATTTGGAGTAGGTATCATCAGCATGCTGATGACATGCAACTGTCTCCTTTAGCTCTTCTGCAGTGAATACTGTCCAGTGGCTTGAGTAATGCTTGGCTTTAGTATTAGAATGGACCGGAGGCTCAAACTGTGAACCTGGACAAGACAGAGGTTTAGTTTCTGGGAAGACTCCAATAGGTCTGGGAATTCCTCCTGTACTGGATAGTGTTGCCCTCTGATTTAGGGACCAAGTCTGCAACTCGAACGTTCTTCTGGATTCTCTTTCTTGGGATTCCCAGATTACAGCCATGTCCAGATTGGCCTTCAGGCAGCTGAGGCTCAACACCCACCTTCACCTCTACCTAGACGGGCTCTTTCAGGATGCTGATGCAGGCGCTGGTCATTTCCCAGAATAGCTATTGCAATGCTTTCTATACGGGGCTTCTTTTGAGGCTGACCCGGAGACCACAATGGGTCCATAATGTGATGGCCAGGCTGGTGTGAGCAACTTGCTTGCCTTCGCTGGTTAGCCATTGCGTCCTCGGTCAGGTTCAAGGTTTTGATACCTATGTATAAAGCCATCCATGGTTTGGGACTACATTATTTGTTGGAGTATTTCCCCCCAGTGTCATCTGCCTGACCATCCAGATCTTCTTAGGCTATGCTTCTTCACTTTGCTACCCAGCAAGAGGCCCGTAATTCATCTGCAAAAGGAGGGTCTTCTCCGCAGTGGCACCAACCTTGTGAAACCAGCTTATGGAGGAGCTCCGCCTGGCTCCTTCTCTGTTGACATTTAGGAGGCAACTCAAAACATGACTTTTCAGGGAGGCCTTCAACATCATCCCAGATTGACTGTACACTTCTTGTCCTGCCATTATGGGAAAATAGCCTCCGGTGCCATATTTTATGTTGTTGATTGTCTAGATTGTTTTTACTGTGTTACTGTTTTATTTTTGTTTTTAGATTTGTTTATTTTTTGTAAAAGAGTGCAGAGCATTAATGGGGTGGTATATAAAACAAACAAAAAACATTAGAGACCACCTGAATAAAGGGGTTGAGTAAATGTTTGCAATAAATACTATGGTGTTGCAGGGGAAGCCAAAGTGCTAATCTAAATGGGCCAAATTAATTTTTTGATAGTTACTCCTTTCACAACCTTTACTCTACCATTGGATTTTGGTAAGTAATGGATGAATCTATCCAGCAGAAGTAAATCAACATCAGGAGTTAGGATGTTTAGATGCTCGTAGCTTAGATGTTGAAAACAGTTGAAAAATAGATCTAAAATGTATTGGTCCCTCAGAGGTCTAATTGGACATGAGTGAGACCGAGTTAGAAGCAGATATGAGAAGTGAGTCCTTAAATTAAAGAACGATCTGCAGTAGTTACCAAACACATTATCTTGCTTACCCCTGACTTTGCTGTGATTGTAATTTCTCAATCTCAGCAGGCCTTAGTCTTATACTCAGAAGCCTAAACGATGGTGACATCACCCAGGTGAACCACAGAAAGCTAGCATACACCTGTGTCCCTCAAAGGATAGCACCCTGAGCATGAAATGGAGAGATTGTTGGGATGCATCCTCTTAGCCTCCATCCAGCTCAGAGAGCCAACCAGCATTGGATATGGGAGTAGAGGAGCCAGTGAGGTCTCTATGTCATTTTGATTTGTTGACCTCTTTTCCTCCTGCACCTCTTATTGGATACTCTCAAGGGTTCATCTACCAGTTAACGTCTTTCCAGTTTCTGTAAGGAGGAAACAGGCTGTTGTTATGAGATCGGGCTTTGTCCCTTTCCCCAATAATTTCAGTTGACATCATTTGGAGTGGTAACTCTGGAACATTTATTTTTGAAGTGACAAATAAACCATTGTCTTGAACTGGTGTGAAGTCTCTATCTCCTTCCTCCAACAGGATTGGAAGGGGCTTCCATTCTTCTAAAACGAAAGGGTTGCCATAACTGGAAATACAGGGACCTGGTAATTCAGGTAGAGTCCATTCCTTCAACGTTGGGCCCGTCTGCCCAGACAATCGGCACGGACGCGTCTCCAATGAAATCTTCCTGCTGGGAACCTCTCCCAAACTTTCTCCACTCTTCCGTCCTCATTTCCTGTGGTCTCCATTCACTTGTCTCTCC